GCAGGAAACACGTGGTTATCGGTTCGTTTGCGCATGCTGCGCACACCAAGTCTTCCATGGTTCCGCAGTCGAAAAATTGCTAAAGGATTTATCTGAGAGAGTAGTAACAGTGCACTGACACATTAGAAGGTCATCGAAAGTTATCGTGTAAGTCATATGCATTCGGTTACCTCCACAAAGCTACGAATGGAGTCGAATGGATGGCGTATTCCTCGGGAATTGATCAGTGTCGTAAGCTTTATGCCCTATCCTTAGGCAATAAAATATATTAGCTATTGCCTATAGCTCCTGTACGATCGTTGGCGTAATACGGATGATATGAACTGTTTCTTTTACAAAGTGCAATTTTCGGCCGCGATGTTGTGAATGGTAGTCGAATGGGCCTTCGAGACGAGAAAACGATAGTAATCTACGTTTTGGTCGCGACTTGGAGGACAACGGAAAACCTCTGTCTGCATACCGCTTGTCTTTATTCAGCAGAGACTATGCTTTTAGTGTTCATATATATGTGTTGTTTTCTTGTTCAGCAATCGCGAGGTTTTTAAACAGCATACATTTACTCCCATAAAAACACAATACAATACAACGCTAGCTGACGTTTCGGCAGTATCGCCTTCTTCAGAGCCTGGAAGGGCATACTGATATACAATCTACTAGGCCAAACGCTTCAATAACACTTACATAAAGACGAAAAACTCTTTGGTAATTACCTGATCAACAACTTCTCGAAAAAACCCACCGCTTTTTCGTGACCTCCAATGAGAAAGTTTAGAACAGCTGATTATAGTCGCATATGGTTGATGACTGCACCATCCCACATCAAAAATCGATGCGAACATACGGGATCAGGTCGCGTATGACCTCCGGGCATTCGTCCCTGCTATTCATTGTAGGGTTTTTGGCATTGATCCAAAAAGCCTCAAGAAGTTTTCGCGCTGGTGTTTTAGTCTCCTGTGCAAGGATATTGACTTTTACTTCAAAATCGTCTCCGCTATGCTTTTGTATCCCATGCGTGCCTAATGGGGTGCTTCGTCTTAGTTTTCGTTAGCCATCTAGGTGTTCTTCTATACGGATACACAAAGGTCTGCCCGTTTCGCCAATATATTCGTCTCCGCAATTATTGCAAGAGATCAAGTATATCGTACCTGAAGTCATGCAATCACTGTTCCTGCCGTAAGGGCAAATTACGCAATACAGGCGGTGACGTAAAGTAGCCGGTGGTATTTCAGCTATGGCTACCGATTCTTCTAGACTTGCCCTTCTTAAGCATCGTTTTATAGCTGTGCTTACTTCATCGATTATAAAAGGCAACATAAACGGGATTTTGTTTTGGCCAAGTGTTTCGCGGCGATAGTGCCGAAACGTCAGCTAGCGTTGTATTGTATTGTGTTTTTATGGAAGTAAATGTATGCTGTTTAAAAACCTCGCGATTGCTGAACAAGAAAACAACACATTCATATTCCAATGCCGAGGTTAATAGAAAGTTCATATATATGTTAAACAAACCTCTCCCTAGCCCTTTTATGTTGCTTTAATACTTCATTAGAATGTTAGGATCTACAAGACTTATGGAAGAGATTTCCTGGTACTTCTACTGTTTTTCGAATTTTTCGAGAATCATCGATCACCTCTTCACAATCATCGCAGTCGTAATGGACACAGAGTTGTCATGAAGATTCATTATTAGGATGTAAAAAGTGATCTCGACATGTCATCCCATATGTTAGATCGCTTTTTACTATTCTCGTTCGTACAGTAATTTGTCATGTTTTCCTCTCGTGGTCGCATTCATCCCACTTTTTTGACGTGCATTTAGATTTTTCATTGTTTCATACTTTGATCAAAATTAATCACCAACAATGTTCAACACCGATGAGACGGTTGTTCATTAGTCATTTGCCGTGAAATAGTAGTAGTGATGGTGACGTCGATCCACAGAGGTTCATGTAAAACAGTCTTTCCTCATGGTCATTGTGATGTCGGTTCCTCTCAGCACGACATCGATTTGCGTACGAAATCGGGTCATTCAGACAGAACTGCTTTTTATTGATATTAGGCGATTTGTTCGGACCGAACAAGCGTAATGTGAATGCTAGAGTTCGTTTTAGCAATAGTATTAGTAGGCTAAGAAGAATCTTTTATTGCTTTATACTATACTCGTTTACTACCACTAGTATTCCATCATCCTACAAGAACACAATTCTGTACACGTCTGTATAACAGCAGCTTAACTCTTACCCGTTTAACTCTCCCACGAGATAGCAACATTTCAACCATTCACCCTCTCTTACGCTTTATTTCACAGGTTGTCGATGTAATAATTGATATGTTTTCATCACGTAGTAACGGTGCGAATCGATTAATATTCACTGTTACTTATTATTTACTGTCTACTTGTTCGTTTTTTGTTTTGTTTTCCATTGGTTTTCCATTCTAAGGGAGCGAGTAGCGCAGTGGTAGTGATGCCGTTCATCACGAGCACGATGTTCTTCGACCCCGCCCAGGAGTCACTATTCTCGCCATCCCTCCAGGGTCAGGCAGTTTGGTACCGAACTTGTCTAAAAAAAAATCGCTCCACACTTTAATTGGGAACGCTCCTGTCCAGCTGTTACAAGGCTGCAGTGAGAATCGACTCAACCAACATTCAATGAGATTAGTAAGGAAGAAGACAATCCGGAAGCGGCAGCCGAAGCCACCCACGAAGTTCGTATAATAGATGTGAAGAGGATCATGTAGGTTGAATTGTAAGAAAACTATTTCTTTTTGTGTCTGCACAGTTTTACTTCCGATCAAGAAATCTTTGGATTTCTTAGCTTTCCGCCGGTTTTTTCCTAGTGATCGATATTTTTCTATAGACATTGTTAGCTCTTGTAATTTTTTTTTCAAATTCTCTCATTTATGCGGTACTGTAGTTGTTTTTCTTCGTTGTCTTTATTATACAGATCTTTCTTTTGCCGCCGGAAGTCACAAGCAGGTTTTTTTCGTCTAGTTATTTTACTTTTATTGCTGTTTCCCTGCTCTTCATTCTTATGTCTATAAAGCAGACTGAAGGTAACTAGATAAACTTCATCATTTGTCCATAATTTGTCCAGCCACCTATAGGGAAAAGTAGACCCTGAAGCGATGTGATCCATTGAAATTATCTTGTTGAAAATGAAGGAACTGCGGTTGAAGATTCCAGGAAAATTGGTTGACGAAAGACCACAGTGGGATCCGGCTGTTGACATGGTATATGTGAATTCAAGATTACTGTAACTTATTTTGGCGTAGTCAGTAGCCGGTATGAAATGCTATGCATTTCAATGACTTTAAGAAACCGTATAGCTTGTTTGGACATAACACTCCTAGGTTCTTACAATAGTCTATCGTTAGTTTTGTCAATCAGGAGAGATTCTGGTTACCAATCTTTTTTTTTTTTGAGAATCTGTCAGACAGGTGATAAAAGACCCTGGAAAAACAGGTGATAAAAAACCCTGGAAAATGTAGCGGTGGTGGTGTGGTCTGGACAGTTTTCATTTTTCCGGAATGTCAACATATAGTCAAAGGGTGAATCAGTGTTTTTGCTTCTGATTCCACTTTGGACATTTCTGTATTGCTGATATGATGTGATAATACTCCTTGCATAATCCTTCACATAATCTTATCGTAAAGTGCTAAAGTCTTTTAGGTGGATCTAAGCTGAAGCTAGCAGGATGTATGGACTTGTCAAGAGCTCTACACAGTGCCTGGTTCGTGGATTGTGGCTTTTCTTTGTCAGTGGCTTCTTTTGCAAATAGTTTTGTTTCGTCATCAGTGTTCTGTATGTTCGTGCTAGGTCCGTTGTTTTTTCCTAGATGCATGTTTCGAAGATAACATCGATTAGTTTTCAAATGTTATGTGAACCATCTCATCATTGTCTTCATACCAATGCATGGAAGTGCTTGTGCTTGCTTTTTCCTCTGTGAGAGAGCGATAGCGTGGCCCCGCTATAATAAACTTCGTGCTACTGTGGTTCTCCGTTAACTTGTTTACAGTCATAGTAACATTGTCCATCTTAAGACATGATCCCTTCTTATGCTGTTGCTACTTTCTGAACAGTTCAACATCAAGTCCACTTATTATGGCTTCTCTAAGATTAGGATTTACTGGGATCTGCTTTTCTTCTGGTTAATTCCTGATAGGGAAAGAAGTGGATGGGCTTTTAGCTGTTTGGTGCTGACGGTGGCAACTTTCGATTAAATATCCTATCTCCTCCGTTCTTTAAATGAGAACTGACTCAGCAGAGACTGAGTGTGAGCGTGTTTCGAGGTCGTACTCCTGGTACCACATCATATTATCATCCGTTCCTCGCACTCATAACATCCGTACGACTCTTTTGGGATGCTTTGTCTTTTTTCCCCTACCTAAATCTAATGTATGCTTCCGCTTCTGTTTTCATTGGCCGTTTGTCATAGTTTTGTTGATTGAAGTTTTATACCCTATTTGGGATTTTTTTAGGCCATAAAGCAAACTCTGGATCGACATTGAAGACGGCACCACTTCAACTTTGTTGGGCTGGTCCCCAATCGTCTAGGTGCTGATATACTAATTATTCTTACTGTCGCTATTAATTTGAGACCTTGTCAAGGACTGATGAGATTTCGAAGGGTCAGTTTCTCAAACATTGGGAGAGTTATTGTTTAGTCGCAAATGATTTTCGAAATATTTCAACCTAAACTGCAACTGTTATTTTTTCAAAGGAGCTGTTCGAGGATTGGAAGAATTATTACGGCCTTTTAATAGTTTCTTACTATCAATTAATATGCGCCAGAGTCGAGCGATTTCTTTATATCGAGGTTCTCAAATAGTGCATGCAGTTAGTATTAGTTCTCATAGTTTAGAATTCATATTGTTATAGATAAGTCAAGAATTTGTGTTTACGTGTCTTTCTGGGGTTTGGGTTTATTTTTTCTTATTGCAGTCCCGTAATATGCCTGTATCTCGCCCCGTCTTTCTCACCATACTCGGAATAGTTTTGGGTTTATCACTAACGTGAGTTTATTCCGTTTCACATCTGCAGTCTACTCCGAATTAATTCATATCGTTATTTGTTTAAGTTACTGCATATTATCTCTCGCTCGACTGCAACAACATCCGCAATCGTCAGAATGCTCAGATCTCATTAAACCTTTTCAACGGACCGGATTTATTTTAGTGGGTATAATGACAGCCGCGAAGTATGTTGACACGCGAGCTTACAACGTATGGAAAACGTGGGCGAAACATGTTCCAGGAAAAGTAAGTTTTACACATCACTTTTATCTGTACTGGTTTTTATTTTTCTGTTCGCTTCCAACTGTCTGCTTTTGAAGCCAATTTTTTCTGCTCCCATTCACTTTTCGGAACATCAAAATCGCCCCGAAGAATATCACCTTGTCAAATCTTATCGTCACGACGTTTTCATTTATTAGGAATTGCGTCTAGGGTTTAAAAGAATTTATGTTTTAATTTTCCTTCATAATTCTTTGGAAGCATGGGAATAATGTAGGATTTCGTTCACATCGGTTCTGGTCTACTGGTCTACTTTTCAGTAATTAGTGGCCCAGGAAATTCACTTGCTTGAATTTGTTTCGTTAGGTCACATGAATTTGTTGTTAGAAATTGCAGCGATGATTACGCGTTACAGAGGAAATGCCTAAACAGAATGTAGCGTCCCTCAACACTTGGTGAAAGAACCAAACCGACTAGTAATGGTTGCTGGGCATATGAAGACGTGGTTGTCATTCCGTCTGTATCACTTAGTTCTCGGACATTTGGTTTTATATCTGGGATGAACCATACACTTGTAACGGTAATCGGCGCGGCGCTGCATATTTAGAGCGAAGAGACTGAGTTTACTGCTCCGAAACGGTGATTTCTGAAGTTTTCTGGAGTGTACAGGTGAAATTTAACATTGAAAAAGGGTTGACAAGAAAAGTTTTGTGAACGATGCCTTCAATTACTTTATAGGTTTCCTTCAACATCTTACACGAAGTTTTCTAGGTTTTGTTTTTTGTTGCCGAGAATACAGAATCTGTACATCCGGAGTTACCATTAATACGTCTTAAAGGCGTAGATGATACGTATCCGCCACAGAAGAAGAGTTTCGCAATGGTCAAATGGATGGCGGAGAATTATGTGGGTTTAGTTGTTCTGACCAACCTACGCTGTTCATTCAATGCATTGATTCGTTGAATTACCATTTATTGTAGTGGCTCTCTGAACATGATGTGTTATACAACCGGTTTTCGAACCAATTTCGCTTTTATGTCGTTTATTGCACTAGAAGGTCATCGCTGTCATTATTTGTAGGATATTTTCCTACATTTTGCGATGATTCACAACGCAATGTCTTAAGGGATGTGAACGTATTTTCTTGCTAGTCCAAACTCTTGTGTTGTTCAGGATTTGATAATGCCCTATTTAGTGAAGCTGTTGTTAAGAAGTTCTAACGACGTTTAGTTGCTTATATATTTTGTTTTTTCTTTTCAGCTGGATGAGTTCGATTGGTTTCTCAGGGCGGATGATGATCTATATGTACGAGGTGATGAACTGGAGAAGTTTCTTCGTTCGCTAGATTCATCCAGGTTCCTAGGTTTGCCGTTTAAATCTTTGCTGCATAGTTGTCCGATAAAATTTGTTTGTAGGGCACATGCAATTGGTCAAGCGGGTCTAGGAAATAGTGCTGAATATGGTCTTCTTGCACTAGGATCCACAGATAACTACTGCATGGGAGGTCCTGGAGTGGTGATGAGCAGGGAAACCTTGCGGTAATATATTTTAATAAATAGTCAGACTTCCTTCTTTCCACTTGCGCTTTTCAGGCTCTTATCTCCACACTTAAAGTCTTGCCTTGAACATCTGCTTACAACACATGAGGACGTTGAGTTGGGTAGATGTATTCGACGGCACGTTGGTGTTGCCTGTACGTGGAACTACGAGATGCAGAAATTGTTTCATAACAACCAAACAGCTGCAAAAGTACACATTTGTTTATTTTGTTCTTTCTTGAACTAATTTCTTATATACTCACTTGTTTGAATACTAAATAACCCGTCATTACTGCGAATCCTATGGGATACAGAACGTTTTTTATTTAAATGATATGTTGACGCCTTGATAAGTCTTCGGTTTTGAGTTCCAAAGAACACCTTCCATGAGATTACTAGGCCATGATCAATCACAATTCGTTTAACCGAGAGAAGCTTACCACCTGGTGGCTAGATTTATTCAAAGATGAAAATAACTCCTGACAGCTTTGCTCTGAGTGGGTTTTCCAGATGGGAATTTCGAACTTCCTTCAAGAAACGTGCGCCACCGTTCTTGGAAGATGACTCATCCGCTCTATGTTGTAATTTATAGTTCTAGAACACAGCATTACCATGCTGACATAGTGAACCATTGATAGAAATGTATTTGTTAGTTTGTGATGTAACAACACAGATTTTGGTTCTCGTTCACTGTATAGCTAGACGAGTGTTGTTTTTGGACACTTTTTCTTCGTAGAAACAAAAACGGCGCTGTCAAAATAATGAGTGCTAGATCTTTCTTTCAGGCCTATACTGGTGATCTATCGGAGGTCAGGGCTGCCATTACAGTTCATCCTATCAAAGATCCAGTGGTAATGCGTCGTGTCCATGTACACGACCGTGCGTTCCGTTTACAAGCGTTGAGAGCACGACGAGTGTCGTTGCGAACAGAACGCAGTGACGTGCAGCAACCTACGTTAGTGCGGATCATGCCGAACAGGTTAGCAGTAAATTTTTAATTCGCATACTATCTCAGGAGCGCGAAATGTACAGTTAGAGATGTCGTACATTGTTATACTTATGGTCGCTGGTTCTATCCGCCCCGGACTGATCAACCTTTGTCTCGTCTGTAGTCGGCGGATTACTACCAGACTTCCATGAGAGAGGCTCATCTGTTCTGCAAGGATCGGCGAGGGTTTGTGATGGAGACTTGGAACGCTCTGGTAGAGCAATCTCAGGATTCCAGGAAAAGTCATCTCGATCAGCATTCAACTAAATTTACGAGGAAGACAAAGTTATTCAGTGGCAGCCGAGCTCATACACAAATCCAAAGAAGTTCATGGATGATGGGTGTGAGGCAACGGGCCTAATGAAAACATTGTTAGGATCCGAAGACTTAATGATGTTGGCCCATACAAATAAATAAAAATTGTTGTGCTGGCTCAAACGTTTTTTCTTTTCTTTAGTTAGAGTGGTAGTGAGTGTAGCGTAGACGATAGATGAATAAAAACTCAGCTTAGATGGGATCATGAAATACATTGCTACTTCCTTTTATTTTTAGCTCTCGAGATCTGACTCCATGGGACTATATAAACAACAACAAGATACTCTTTTGTGCTGATCGCGTTAACTGTCCACGACATACGGTAGACTTGAGCATAAGAACCGAAATGGGAAATATTGTAACTCAAGTGAGAGGTTACCTCACTTTTCTAATAAAACTTTTTTCAGTATTCTAGGAAGTGAATTGAGAAAGAAGGTATTCCATAGGATTCTACTCGATGAATCCTACTATGTAATGTTTCCAGTTGTTCGAGGAATTCAATTCGAATGCACGTCAGAGAGGAAGAGTTCTACAATTCCAAAGCTTACAATACGGTTACATGCGGGTTGAACCTCGTTACGGAGTTGACTACGTATTGGATATGATTTTATGGTGTGTATTTGACTATCCGTTTATTGCTAGATCATTTACTAGTATCAGTTCACTAAAATTCTACAAAATAATTTTATGCGGAGAATTTTGGTCATGTGGAAAATAAAGTCGCTAAGTCGCTCATAGTCAAAAACAAACAAGTTCTTGAGATAATAGTACTTTGAGGTTCAAAAAATTCCGACCGCCTCATCGGACCACCTTGTCAGTTCGACGGCATGCTTACGTACAGCAGGTTTTCGCTCCTCTTCAGGCAACCTCAGATCGCAAATTGAGGTTTGTGGTTTCCAGTTCTCCGTCCTTCTTTTGAGATAACATATTTGCTTTTCTTTGCAGAAGGAATCTACGCCAAGGAAGCAATTTTACAGGGGAGAATGCTCATCTACACATGATTCTACCCCTGAAGGGTCGTTCGGAGATCTTTGCAAGGTGCCATTAGTGGTTTCATTCTTACTTCATTTTGTGACGTGCACTATATAAAGTGAAGGAAAGGTGTTACAGGTTCGCGAGCCATCTAAAGAATATTTGTGCACGAGCTGGCGACATTTCACTAGTGGTAGTTCTGTACGAAAGTGAAGATGAGATAGCAAATCGGTAACTGGATGAATTTACTTTCACTTAAACTTCTGTATGAGTAGTTCTTATGATTTCAAGGATAACAATCGACGAATTGCGTCAAAGTTTTGTACGCGTTGAAGTAATCGAAATGGATAAAGCACCGTTCAGTCGAGGTATAGCTCTTATGAAAGGTGCTGAACGCGTCCCTGCTGATGGACTAATGTTCTTTACTGATGTCGATATGCTATTCACCTGTGATGCACTACATAGAGTCCGATTGAATACAATCCTCAATGCACAAGTGAGTGTGTAATGTGCTTACTTTACATTATGAGTGTAAAAAGATAATATTCAGGTGTATTTTCCCATCGTGTTCTCTGAATTCTCTCCGGAGAGTTGGTCAGAGAATGATCGTTTACTCGCCGATGCGTTCCATTATGGCAGAAGAAGAGGATATTTCAGACATTTCGGTTATGGACTGGCCGCACTTTATAAGGTAGCTACCAAAGCTTTGATATCCCGTTTTACATGTGTGAGCTTTGTTCAACTTCTTGAAAACTCTGAATAAAAAATTGTCTATATAGCCGATTTTTCAGGCAGATCTGATTGCAGTTGGTGGATTCGACACTAAAATCGAAGGTTGGGGTTTAGAAGACGTGGATCTTTTTGAAAAGGTAAATCGAATCTATAGCTATCTCTTGAATTATATCATCGTGGTGTCTCAGTTGCATACTTTAAATCTGGAAGTTTGAAGTGCCGATTCTTCCACCTCTAAAGTGCTGATGACAAATTTTGATTGAAGTTAACACGATTGTCATATTTCTTTACTATTTACGGATTTAACTATATTCCCACATTTGTCAACTGAAGATATCAAATTAACTCATACTGATGTTTAACCCTGACTTATGCAGGTCGTAAAGTCTGGAGATTTACGGATAATACGATCACCTGAACCCGGTTTGGTTCACATATACCATCCAATTCACTGTCCCGAATCCATGCCGCAAGCTCAACGGCACATGTGCCATGGGTCGAAAGCGGCTAGTTTGGCATCAATTGACGCGCTGGTGGATCAGATTTCACATTATACATGATATCAGCGAGATAGATGATTACCTTGTTACGTTATCAAGTAGGTTAGCACTCCTTTTATGATGTCTTTCCACGTTGTTGTTATTTCGTTGTGAATTAGGTGTACTTCTGATTTTGATTGGCCGAAATCTGAAGTGTATTCACTACACTAGAAGAATGTTCAGATGCTACAAATAACTACGTGCCGTACTTAGCTTTCTGGCCATAGCACCCGTTCAAGCCATTCCTATTACCGATTCTTGCCACTCACCATGTTAATAATCTCTGATTTTTTATTCTTTATATCGGGACCTAATGCGGGCCTTTGAAGCGCATGACATAATCCTCTTTAGGTGACCTGTGCTGCATTAGAAGTTTTACACATATGGTTAATGGGTGAACACGGCATTTCGAGTCATTTTCAGACCTACTTAGCTTTACATGTTTCTTTCTCCCATTTGTTTTCCACAACTTCTATTGATTTTCTTCCACTCGAGCAGCTTGATAACTTGTTTCTTTTTTCTTTTTCTTGAATCCTCCACTGATGTTATGTTTTTTTCACAATAAGTTGCCTTACTTTGATCGGTGCTTTGATTTTTATGTCCCGCTCACAATTGTTGCCTTTGACATATCTCGCCAAAGCGTCTCCTCAGTTTGTAAATTACTTTATTTATTAATAATCGTGTTCCATATCGAGGGAAAGTTTTATCTTTGTTACCATTTTTGGACAGATAACTACAAATATGCCAACCCATAGTACGAAAACAGCATTACGTATCAGAAGACATAAAGATTACCACATAAACCGTTGTTTCACACCCGGTTCACTAGCCCATTCAAAAGGCTTTAAAAGAAAAAGTAAAAATACTGAAGCAAATATTAATAGTTCCGTCAGCAATTCCGCCAGTATTAACAGCCTATTCGACGACAATTTCGCGGATAACCTCCACAGCACAAATGGTACGATGAAATAACGTGGCTCTATTAGATGAGCTGGCACGATTACAAGAAAAGAACAAAGCACAAATAATATCCGTACAAGCGGAGAGAGATGAATGGACAATTTACGGATATAAATGAGGGAGCAAACGAACAACGGAGTTAATAACAAGCGACAACGCGGATAAGACAACCACCATCTCCAGAGATAGAATGTGACATGACGATTATCGGCCAGAAGATAAGGATGATCATAAGCAAAGTACACGGCAGACAGCGCAACAGGTATGACTAAGAAGACGGAGAAAGGACTAAAAAGTTCGGACAAAAGTCTTTGAATCAGAGGAAGTGAATGCGGCCAAGAATGTATAGCTGTGAATAGGGCAAAATAAAGAAATTGTATAAGGTGAAGACGAGGATGATGAGCAGGTACATCACCCAAAACAACACCTCCATTAATGAGTACAAAAAGACAAAAAGAACCACCTAGAACAACGAATGACGTGAGCCTTAACAGTGAACGGAGAATGGAGGAAAATGGTCGGGATATGTCGACGTCTTCAGCGAGACGTACAGCTGCATTGAGTGCAGCCCAGATAATGTTTGTTTGTCGTGTGAGAGCGGCTAACCCAAATGTCAGAGATGACGATAGTGGTGAGTTCAACGAGAAACCCCAAACAACTGTACATACGGAGAGCAGATCCGTGTAGAAAAGTACCGAAGTGTGGAACAGTACCTGGAAACAGGTCGACAATGCAACAACCGACTTCCAAAAGACGAGAAATGGATTTGTCAGAGTGGCGTAATAAGTAAAGTTTTATTGAATGCTAGATTTTTCTTATATTCTCTCCCACTTCTAAAGCTTAATATAAGGAAAAGAACTTCTGTTGAAGGAAATATGTCATAATATCGAATTCTAACAGAATACTACCAATGCAAATTTGGACGTGATTAGTGAAAACTGCCTACTGCGCTATTATGAGTGCAATAAATCAATTATACCTGGAAAGAAAAGTAATGAGAACATTGCTGGCAAAAGAAAACGTCTAAATGAACAGAAAGACACAATCGTACCGGGAAAAAGACTGCCACAAAAGCCGATGAGTGTACTGACTCCTTAAGAAATAGTCTCCGAAATCTACAACATCCGACAAAGGTTAGGCCAGTGAGGATACTGTTCATGTACCTCTCCATACCACAAAATGGCATGCTGAGCAAATAAAGTGCGGGTGGAGTAGTGATCATTGGATCCCAGCTCCAGTTGCCATTACAATACCTGGGAAAACACTCATATGCGGCACCAAATCATGCTTGGTCAGGTGATCCGGAATGAAACCGTAGTATATACTAACTTTCTGGTTTGGCGAACATGGAATATCTCATCCATATATGGCTCAGGTTGATAGCGATACACGATCGTGACCAGAAGACCATGTACTGCTACAAGAAGTCCGGCGAACAGCCAATCACCTGAAAACATGTCATCCATTAAAGATGAGTTTCAATGAATTGGTGAAACTGCAGAACCTACCAACGAATCACAACAACTACAAACATAATTATACCTACTTTTATAAGAGACTCTGAAGTTCGATGACGGCCTTCGCTCAACTCCGGCATACATGGTATGGGTCAGAAAAACTCGGCTCAGGAGACCATAAAAGTAACCGTAAGAACAAAGTCCTATCTGTAGACATAGCGAACAGATAAAATCCACACATTAAAAACGAATAAAAACCAAGGTTGAAACTAATGCATGAATTAACGCCGCCAAAATAATGGAGTTGAATCAATACGGCTCTGAAGTAAACAAAGACGTCGAAACGATAGCCGAATAACTCGGTATTCTCGTTGAGAAAACGAGATGTTACTTTAACCTTTTCTGGCGAAAAGCTGACGTTTCGGCGGATCTAGATCTCTTTATAGTCTGGAATGGTTAAGTTGACCGCACTCTACCCAGCCAAACACATCCATGACCAGACAGAGAAAATGCTAAATGCTTGGCTTGAATGGTTGGGGATTTTCTTTGTTTGTGTATGGAGGTATTTGTATGGCTAGATTGCAGTCAACTTGATCTTTCCAGGCTATGAAGAAGGCCAAATCCGCCGAAGCGTCAGCTTTTCCGTCAATAAGGAGTAAATTAAAACCTCGCGTTTTCTTAGCAGGAATATAGACAATTACATGATCAATGCCGAGGTTAGTAGAAAGTCGGTTGTGAGAGTTGGCCGAGGAATTCTCTCTACCTATCTTTTGTTAGCTCACTAATCCAACAGAATAGTTCTATAGTGACTTGTTTTTTGAAAGGATTAAACAACAACGGGATGTAACATACAACCATTTGTCGACGACGAACAATATCAGTGCGGTTCAATGAATACGAATTTGAATCCACTCGTATCCGGTCGAATACAAATGGTCCCAGCACGAATGAGAAGGAGCGAATTTTGGCTCGGTGCCAGTGGGCGGGCTAAGGCGCCTGAGCGCTGCATTGATTTATGGGCCATTAAGTGCGGCTATTACTCAATTTTATGCGATGTCCGTTTATTTAAGCACCTAATTTAAGGATTTGTCATGACGTCATACTTTAGAAAGTACGAGAGATGCAGTAGACTACTGACAGTGGCCGGATGTCTTTCGAACGATTGTGCTCACTTCTATCCCTTACGTTGTTCGTACTTCCTCATAGTGCTGTGTCTCAGGTTTATCATCAGGTAGTTTCCATCTGTTACTGCCCTAAAGAAGGAATTTTTCAGGTTCATCCAGATTGAAATCCTAGAGTTGAATTATAAGTGAACTTCTTTTCTGTGTGCTAAGAGATTTCATTTAGTACTTTTTTGCAACTATACAGGAAAGATTTCTTAACTAGTACTATTGATTTTGCATTGACTTGACTCTGCCTTTCAGCCGAGACTTCCATCTGGTCGCAAGTGTGTACCGCTGAAGATATCGATGTGCTTAGATGTGCCGTATAACACCACTGTCTATCCGAATTTGCTAAATCATCAGACTCAGGACGACGCCGAGATTGCCATCAATCAATTCCATCCGCTCGTCAAGGTCAAATGCTCGGAAGACATCAAACTCTTCTTATGTACAGTGTAGGTGTTTTCGACTGTTCTCATCCACCATTCACCCATCCGCTTTGATTGATACCCCAACAACTCATGATGGCAATGGTTTTCACTGAGCGCAAACACTTCATTTATCGATTTTTTGTTGTTTTACTTATTCTCTCCTTCCTGTTTGTTCAGAAAGTGGTTGGTTCTCTCCAAGAGTTGGTACTGCCGCACTTTTCTGCTCTATAGAAATGTATTTCACCTGATATATTATCGCTATCGTCTGCGATAGTTTCTTTTTTGAAGATAAGATGTTCTCTATGCTGTGAAAGGTCTTAGGCAGTTTGCTTTTGAAAAAAAAGGAGATATGGGGCTAATTGCACTTTGGAATTTCTGACTTGTACTGTTGTTACATTGCTGCGAAAATAATCCTTTGAACGCATCGAAGTCAGAATCCCACCTAGTCAAGGTGGCGATATCTTTGTTTCCCGGTGTCGAGAGACAACCATATTTCATGACATGTAATAACTGCTGGTTGCCAAAGCCAGAGTACTCTCGTCCAATGTCGCGGCGCAAAATCGCATGTATACGACGTGTATGCTGGTCATGGTGTTGTATCCAGCAGAGCAGTGTTTGTTTTCCGGCTTTTCCATTTGGAAGCCTAGCTAAGAGTAAACCACTACTAACAACGACTACCGTCCTTGTATCAAACTAGTCGCATGGTGGCAAATCTCCCTCTGATCCACAAGGGCTGCTACTGTTTCTGATGGTGACGACCTGGGGCAGACTTTGGCCAGACTGACCTCGGGTTCCCAGAGAAACACAGTGGCTCAACCAGCAACTCTCCAAAAAAATGGATATTGCGCTGGGACCGGCACAGCTTGTGAAGACGGGCCGTCCAAGTATCCAAGTAGTACACGAGACTAAAAGTATAGACTTCCCTAGAGAACTGATGCATGTCAAGTTTTGTGTGTACACGTGTATATACCCCACAATGGATATGTAGACGCATATATGTTCATGTGTGACTATGCATATGTACGTACATGTATGTATATGTACAAAAGGGCGCATGTGGCGCAGTGGTAGGAGGCCTTGCAGCACGCACGTGGAATCGATCCCCGCGGTCCTGACCCACCAAGCCTTCCATCCCTCCGGGGTCGGCAAATTGGTACCAGACTTGTCTGGGAGGATAGCGGCAGTGGCTTGATACATCGGTAGGCCACCGCGAGTGATTGTAAAGGCCAGATATGCATTCAATTACCTCCAAACGATGCTTAATGAAGAATGCATGGCGCATCCCTCAAGGATTGATCAACACAGAGAGTTTTATCTCTTTAGCTCTATATATGTGCATTTATGTATGTATATACATGTACATGCATCACACACGTATATGTATATGTGTACTTATATATGCATATACACACATACGTACATGTTTAGAGCATGTTTGTTAACACTGCGGTAATGCCGTTAAAGGGATAAAAGGATAAAGGTCTCGGCGTTGTCAATCCGTGGGGGATGCGCCATGAATTTGACTTCATTACGCATCGTTGGAGGTGACTGAATGCATATATACCCTTTACAATGATTCGAGGTGGCCTAGCGATGTATCGAGCCAGTGCTGCTATCCTGCTAGACAAGTCTGGTACCAATTTACCGACACCGGAGGGATGGAAGGCTTGGTGGGCCTGGGACGCGGTGGTCGATCCCATTTGTATTGCAGGACGCCTTCGACCACTACGCTACGTGCGCGCTGCCATCAAACAAGCACCATTAATACACGTTGGTCGCTAATCCTAGCTCCGGAGCCCACTTGACCTCTCCGTTTTGTTTCAGCAAGTTAGAAGACATTAGCTTTGAACCAACAATTGGTTTCATATTGTTATGCAGGACTTCCCTGTATTTGCTAGCATAACGAGAAGTGCGGTTGAATCGACACAACTGCTTGAATATTAATCGGTACTACGAACATATTCTTTTTATATGAGGTCAAGTGTAGGTGTGGCAGTTTTTCTCCGGAAAGTCCACCGTCGCGTTCCTCATCTATGACGCATGAGTGTTTAGCGACTTGGTTTTATCGTTTCATCCATACGTATTCTTTATTTGAGGCTGAAAAGTGGAATGATTTACTTCGTTTCGTGTTCAGGTATGCACCAGTATGTACTCCATTAGAAGAACCTATACAACCATGTCGCGATCTTTGTCTATCGGCAAAAAATGGGTGCGAGAGCCTAATGATCAAATTTGGATTCCGATGGCCCGAGCAGTTAGAGTGCAGGCATTTCCCAACTGAAGGGATATGTGTTGGACAGAATAGAACAGGCAGTACACCATCTCCAAGCAGGTTTCTTAGCAGAGACTCTTTGCTGAATCTACATTATGTACCTGTTCACTGAATTTGCAACATTGGCTCTTCTTCAGGTCATATTCGCTAACTAACAATTTGGAATGCCCACTTACAATGACAGCATCTGTACGGTCGCACTTTGCCCTTCCACTGTCCAGTGGAACACTTGAAGATTGTAGTTTACCATGTACAGCAGATAATCAGGTTTACATTCGTGTGTATATTATCACACAGTTTAAGTTGTAAATGAAGTTTTTGAGCTTTTGATTTCCAATAACAGTGTGGAGTAGTACAGTACGATAACCATTTCTTCGTGTACGTTAAACTGAATTATATCTTCAATATTCAATTTTGTTAGGCATGCTTGTCATCCCTTCTTATCTAATTGTCACACATATTTCCTTAATTCATTTCTTATCCATCAAACAGAGTGAATAATGCTACGAACCGACTTAGGTGCCGGTGTTCTTCGACAAGCGCCATCGTCGCTATCTTCGATTCTGGACCGGAGGATGGGCTGTAGCATGTTGTGTCTGTGCTCTCTTCACCATCATTACGTTTCTGATTGACCTCGCACGCTTTGCCTATCCTGTTCGCCCAATTTTATACATGGCAGTATGTTATCTAGTGATATCTGTCGTGTACATGATTGGTGAGTCTAACCGAAATGTCTTCTCTTAGTCACCATTTCCACTTTCCCTATCTTTAACAGCATTGCCTATTTACCAACAATATGCATTGATTTCAATGCGTATGTGAAGGTGTTTTGCTCTAATGGTTTCGTGTAAACATTTTGATCTGATTTTGTGGAGCACATGGGCGGTGGTTTTCCCTCTCGTCGAGGCTGGCGATTTGAACGCCATTGCAATTTAATAATCGGGGTGTCTTCCAACTGATATCCCCGAATGCATCTTTGTCTGCCATAGCCTTGCTTGTATGAGAATTCTGGAACTTTTTCATTTTCCTGTTTTTTTTTTTTTAAAAATAGCTCAAAATGTAAGAACATTTGTTAAATTTTCAAGTGCTTAACTAGTATAGTTGTAAAAAAATTACTGACAGAAAAAAACTGAAAAAGAGCTAAATCGACTGGAACCTTTTGAATATGGTTGGCACTTCTTAATTATGATGGGAATTTGAAGGATAGAACTATTAATGCGAAGTAAAATTATGCGTCCTTATCCCTTGTTGGTATTTAATTTGATTAATTTTGCAGGAGTCGTAGGTGAAGACAGTTTCGCGTGCGGTCCATACGGTGAAACCCCGCAACTGCTTGTAGCACAAGGTGGCGAAGGAACTGCCTGTAGTGCACTGGCTGTAGCTCATTATTATTTCACCATTGCAAGTAGCGTTTGGTGGGTTGGGTTTAATGTTGCTTGTTTTGTATGGTGTGCTGTATTTCATGGGGAGATTATACAGTTTACGGCAAGAAATGCTTGGACAGCTGTTGAATTTCACAATGTTAACTTTTTATTTGCTGCCTTCTACAATTTTTCATGCCGGCCTATTATCTGAGGTACAATCACAATGGTGCTGAGATATTTGCAAAACTTCGGACCTCAGGTATCCACAATTTGGAACGAACGCTCTATTTACCCTTTCCGGACACTAAAGCGTTCACCACCACACCATGCGACTCCTTCGTTTCGACTGTCTCTCACCTAGTTCTATTGATCAATGCCATCAGCTATCACCCGTCGATGGTATCGATCTGGGCAGCCCAAATAGGTATTGAACTCAGTTAAGCTGAGCTGTAGTTGAAATCGCAATGTTAGCTTTTTATTTGCTGCCTTATACAATTTTGCATTGTAGGGTATTATGCGGAATACAACCATCTCAGTGGTGCTGAGATATCTGCAAAACTCCGGACCGTAGGTATCTACTGTGGGATAGAACGTGCTACCCTTTCCGGGGGTTAACGCGTTCTCCATAACACAATTCGGTTCCTTCGGTCTTATTACATTTTAGTTGATTTCAGTGCGATTAAATCCTTATCATTGCCAAATGCGGTTGACATTTGGAAGTTATGTTAACAAACGACAAGATATGCTCTCATTGCCTCGTTTGCTTTGGTTTTTTCCACCACAGTCTATGTTTCAGGTGGGTAGTGTTGTGCTTGGCATGGTTCCTGGCCGCGAATCGTAAATGGGGTGCTGAGTCCATAGCAGGACTAGCACCGTACCTCCATGCTGTTTCTTGGGGAGCACCGGCACTTCTATCGGTTATAGTGCTTGTGACGAATTCAATCGATGGTGATGTTTTCACCGGTAAGTGATTGTAGTGCACTCGCATTTGCAATATTCCTCGTTGAACCGTACTATTTACCCCTATAACGAAGAATAGTATTTGTAGTAAAGATGGTGATCAGCGTGGTCTAGATAGGAATGTATAGTCTGATATCAGGGGTATCGAATTTAGGTGAGGTGCCCAAAGAAATGAAAATGATGAATTTGTTACGCAACCTTAACAACCTTAATGTAAAGGAATTTCAATGCCACTGTATCAGTAGTATAGGGAATTTATGTGAAATCAGATGCCAATTTTTTTCATATAGGTATTTGCTCGGTTGGTAACCTTCAACCAAATATGCTACTATATTATCTATTTTTACCACTGAGTGGATGTATAAGTGGGTTTCTTTTCATTTGATTTTTCAACTTGTTGGGTTTTCAAAACCTTCTTTGACCCTTAAAAGTTCATTGTAATCTTTTATCTCACTAGTTTCTTCTTGATTTAGTTCTTGGGTTGTTTCTCCTCGCTTGTGGAATTTGTTCCATGATGCGAATTCGAACATATATTAAGCTGCAACATGCTGATGTTGACAAGAATATTCGAAAATTGGAAAAGTTGATGTTTAGGTATGCAGGCCATTGTTTTTTCTTTGTCATTTCCAACATCTAAAGAACTTGTTCAATTATCTTTGCATTCAGAGTGAGTGGTTTTGCTGTAATGTATGTTTTACCAACTGCTGCAAGTGCTGCTGTGCTTTGCTACCAGGCATTGCAAATGCCCTTATGGCTGGATAGTAAGTTTTTTCTCCAGCGTAGATACAAACTCACAATTCATGGGGGAACTTTCACCCTTAATATGTAGGTGGTATGAAGGTGATTCTCCATCCTGATCGTAAACATCTTGAGTGTTTCTTGATCACCTATGTCTCTCCTTCTTAAATGATTCCGCTCACAAACGAAGGACGCGCGTGGTGTGGTGGCGAACACGTTACTCACCGGAAAGGACAATAACGCGTTCGCTCCCCACCGCAGACACCTGCGGTCCAAAGTTTTGCAAATGTCTCAGCAATCTTGTGGTTGTATTTCGCTTAATACTCTGCTGTAAAAATTGTAGAAGGCAGAAAATAAAAGTAAACATTGTGAATTCTACTTATACTTTTCATTTCTTTTTCTATCAGCAGCACCTATTGTTGAAATAGGCGATAACATTGTTCAATTTAGCACTCTACACGCTACGTTGCCTCCATCCAGATCGTGTAAAATTTGGTTTCTCAATACCCCGGACAGGTTGTGGTCAGCGCATGGACGTAATGTCAACAGGACCCGAACTAGTCCTTATATTTATAAAGTGGGTTTATTTCTAACATGCTTGCGCTGCAAACGTTTGCAAGATGAGTGGAAAGTAGCTTAAAATATTTATAATGTATCTGTGTATTATGGTATATCTATATTCCTAATTTCTTTGCGTACGTTCTCTATGATCCTTTATGTATTGGGACTAAATCCACGGCGTTGTGTTCGTATGGAGTCTTGGAAAGTTGCATTTGTTTTTCATGCAAATTAGTCAGATCTTATTAAAAATATCTTATGGAGTGATGAAGCGGTGCTCCAAATCGATGGGTTTGTGAGACCTCACAACTGCTACCACTAGGAGAAAATCTTCATGTTAACTCTGAAAACGTGTAGAATCTGCCCAATGTAGCAGTATGTTGTGGAATGCTCTTGAACAGGATTATGGGTCTTCTCTTCCTCAGGATTATGGGTCTTCTCTTCCTCTGCGAAACGATGGTTGCTGAAAGGTACCTCACCATACGGCAAAGTGAAATATTACGACTTACCAGCACTTGGGAGATTATTGGGAATTTGCTTTTCATGATTCTTCATCAACATTTTACTGCTTTAATAACTAAATACCCACTGGCCTTGGCGATGGATGGTTCTCCATTGTCCGCCTGAGTGACTAGGATCCATGCGTGAACACCTCGCCACTTTTTTCTTCAGGGTTTTTTTGAGGAGCATATCTTCTTACCCAAACCAACGATTGTAGAGGAACATGAGAGACCATTCATTTCTGGCAAAAGAACATGGTTAAAAAATGATAGAAATTTTGAAGTAGGAATTTACTTTCCAGTCACCCTCTACATCTAACATATTTTGCCGACGTTAATACTTCAGTTAACATGGCGTCGTTTTTATTTTAGCCTTTTTTTTAAAACTTAATTGTCGTCCATTTTCAGATACCTGTGTCAACTGATCGTAGGAATCACATGTGCAGTGTGGATATGTAGCGCCAAAACAGTGGCAAGTTACCAGAAGGCTTACGTCAGAATAATTCTTCGTCGAGCAGCCGTAGCTACAGACGAACATTAGTGCCGGAGACTTCACTGCTGCAATGATGTAGCGGAATCGCGTGTATGTAGAGATGTTGTGTTCACTTATTTTGCAATCTCCATGTCCGTATGCTCATACTACAGATGTCGACATCCTTTCTCATTTTTTACAACTCCTGATGGTCTGTTCAATACAGCTGATACGAGGTTCTGCCAATATGCATAATTGATTTTTGTGGACATCTAGGTATTCCTTGCTAGGTATGTTCCCTTCCAATTTTTTTTGTCCGCTTGCTTTTCTTATTGCACCTTTAAGAGGTGTTTCCCCTCCATTTTTTTTTTTTTACAAGAACGAGTTGTTTGTGGAATAACAATGACAGCAGTTGACGCTGCAGCGGAGGTCTCCTTGAGGCACAACTTTTCATTGCTATTGACATACGGATGTCCGATTATCCGTCTGCCAATCTCACCATGAGCACGAGGGCGAAAGAGAGTTTTCCCGAATACAGACATATGTTCGCTGAAGCGCTATGTCTTATAGTGGGAATCGGCATATGCTCTTATTCAAGACGCATAAGCAATAGAATTCAAAGTTACTAGTATCCAATCTCACAACTGCATCAAAAGCTTCAGTTTACGAATGATGAAATCGGAAAGAGCTGAAGATTAACCGCATTTTTTTTGAGGAATTGAACGTTTTCCTGTTTTCTGAGTTGGAACCAAAACTTAGTAGCAAACGTGGAATAGGTTCATCATAACCAGAATACGAAGTTACGTATTTGGATCCTTGCACGACTCGTTTTCACTGATGGTGTTAGTCGCGGCATAAATGAGAAATTACTGGTTCTTAAGCAATTGGGACTTTTCTGATAAGGTTTTGATAGTCAGAATGGCCTAGCGCAGTCAGCTACCTAACTTCGATCATCTTATCGATTTCCATCTATGATGTAAGCAGTATTTCGTTAGCTATTAACATTGTCGGAGTCCTAAGACTATTGTATTAGACTCCCAGCGTTACAATGGGGTTTTTCATTTCTACGTATTCCTTGGAGGGAAGGAAGGAAGGTTCTCGTCATAAGATATACAGCATACGTCATGAATTGGTTTCTCAATGCTCGCTAACATTGTTTAGCTTTCTTTCGTATTGCTATAATTTTGAAGAGAAGAGGGAAAGCAGTTCTATGTGTAATGCGAAAAATTGTGCACTAAACCACCTCCACGAAATTCTGATCATAAATGTCCCTCGTCTTTATCCTTGTGCCGCATTTGGTTCATTCCAGAAAAACTACGCTCCGCTAGCGGCTAGCTGCTGTTAGTCGACAACTTCTTTGGTTACTTAGTTTTCATGTTCCGTCATCAAAATGCTCTCACATACTCTCTGCTTTCGCTTCGAACCCGAAGGACGTAGGGTTTAACTGTACAGAATTTTTATTTGTTGTTGTTATTGCTTTTCTCAAAGCATACTTGCCTCCGCATCTCTAGCTTATATTGCAATTTTTCCACTTTACGTGTTCTGCCGCGCTTTTAATACATCCCATTCTCGCCATTCATTGCATGCTTTCATCTAAAATTCATCGAAGGTTTTACAGTAGCCTTTTTTTGTATTATACATTTGTTTACTGTGTATTTATGAGAACAGGTGTGATTACAATGTGGTATGTTCGTTTGTAACGAATTGTCATACAAGGTACTTCTAACCCTCAAAACAAGGTAGCTTTTTGTGCTCAAATGTTTGTCATCCAGCCATGACACTTAGATTCGCTTTCGTTTTCGTGTTCATCAACTTACACAGGTGGCGATAGGTCGATCTAGTTGTGTGCATTGCGTTATAAGATATTTTATAGAAGCTGTCACATTAGGTGGTGAAACCGTCAGCTCTGATGTAAGCTGTTGTAATGTATGTTTCTCTTTAAAGGGCATTTCGTTTGAATTTTTGATGTTATTATTACTATTACTATTACCCAATTGATTGATGCAAGGTGTTTAACGCACAGGGTTGACCATTTTTATGTGCTGGAATAAAGTCATATGTTGCTGATGGCTTGGATATTGAAAGATTTGTTAAACTTCTGTTGCCAGAAGTTGGTATGCTTATTCAGTCTTCAGATCCAGTTCTGTAAATTATTATATGTGTTATATTTATATTTCATGCGATGGTATAGAACGAATATGTGCTGCGTCCTTTGAAAATATTGCATGGAGTCGGTAACGTGAAGTTGAATGAGAAGTTGTGACAACATGTGCACGTTTTCTAGTGCTATGTTTTAACTCCTAACTAGCCATCGGCTTCATTTGTCACATGGTCATGCTGTATCCCTCCGATGTCCGGTGGCTTGAGTCTTTCCATCCATCATCCTCGTATCGTGGCAGAATCGCCTGACGTCAGTTTATCAGATTCCCAGCAATACGTTCTCGCTATCCTCTGCTATAGTTTATGAGGACGAAGTTGTACCGGAAACTAAAAGTGCTGGAAAAAAAGAAAACTCCACAGGTTACTAGTGCATCCCAGAATGAAACCCTAGCTGAGACATCCGCTCGCACTTCCGATTTCAGTTGCTTCTTTGGTAATGTATCATCAGTAAAGAGCAAGTCTAGGAACGGCCATCAAATGTATTTGAAGACAAGCCCACGACGTGTAGCGGTGTTCGGGTTGCCGAATAGCAAGTTGCGTGGCTTGTACCTAGCTTCCCTTGGGCACGTGTACCGCAGTGGTCAGTGCCCTGTAATACACATGGGATCGATTTCCGAACCAAGCCTTCTATCCCTCTGGAGTTGGCAAATTGGTACCAGACGTTTTTGGGAGTATAGTAGCGCTAACCCGGTACATCGGAAGGCCAACGAGAGTCATTGTAAATACCAGATATGCATTCAATCACTTGCTTAATGAACTCGAATAATGGCGCATCTCAGGGATTGGACAACAAGGAGAGCTTTATCCTTTTTTATTCTTTTATATCTAGCGTTCCTAATAAGGAGTACAAGTGGACCAGAAGAGAGCATGTAGTTGTCTTAAGACGTAAGTGGACTTAAAAATCGGATTTGGTGTCGTTATACTAGGTTAATCTATGTCTTCGTCATACAAAAGTGGATAGGTAGAGTGCCCGAAAATTCATTAATGAGTGCATCTATCCCACTTAATAGTGAAGTCCGGTAAGAATAAATGATATGCGGAAAATTTGATGCTCTTCGTCCCAATCAAGTGAAGTTCACTGAGCAGCTCCGGTACGCAACATTAATTATCGGATTTATAAAGTGCTAAAATAAGGATAAAGCTCTTGGCGTTGATCAATCCCTGATCGATGCGCCATACATTCCACTTCAATAAGCATCGTTGGAGTTGACTGAATGCATATTTGGCCTTTACAATGACTCACGGTGGTCAACCGATGTATCGAGTCAGTGCAGCTATCCCCCAGAGAAGTCTCGTACCAATTTGCCGACTCCGGAGGCTGGGCGAAGACTGTGCGAGTCTTCAGCGCTAGATCGAATCCATGTGTGTTGCAGGGCACCTCTTATCACTGGGTTACACGGCTCCGCGTACGAAGTAAAGTACAAAGTTAAAGAGTACAGAGTAATACTATGCAATTATTCACAGTTAATACACTTTAGCATGAGATATGTGATCACATAAATTGGTGTAACTGTCAATATAAGCTTCCTACTTAGCAAATGTTTGCTGTTAACTGGGGAAAACCTCTGTGCGTTGTAACCATTTACATTTGACAATGAAACTGTGAAGTAAGGATGAGTAGTCGCAGTTCCAGCAATGTACGCCGTACTCTTAGTACTGTTCACTGCATTCTGCAGTTGAAGACAAGCGCTTCCTTTTTAGTGGAAAGGATGTTGCGCAGAGAAAGTGGGCACCAGTTTTTTACGATGTGGTCGTTGTGGGTAGTGATGCAGTCCGTCAGGAAGGTGCTAGTTCGACCCACCCTAACGCTGTCCTCCAATCCACGCCTTAGCTCAGTTATCTCCAAGATTGCAAAGAGAATCGACTCAACTAGCATTCTACAACATTGATAAGGAAGACAAAATCCTCAAGTGGCAGTGGATACGCGAAATGTTTGACGACCTTTGTGGCGGACGAATGCGAGGGAAACGAATCGTATGTAAGATGTGCTGGAATCCACGTACGAGATGAGGTGACGGATCATGTAAAAATAAATAAAATATTTTACGATTTTTTTGGCAAATAGTATGTGATTATCTAAAAACTCACGTGTGAAGTGTATATATGTGAGGAGTGAAGACGAACAATCCTAAATGCGTGGAAAGTAGAAAACGATCTTTAAAAAACAGAGAGAAAGAGGAACACGAGGAGATAGATGGAAACAACAGATAGGGGAGCTTAAGCCGATAAACTGGGAACTAAGAAAGGTGTTTGGAAGAGGAATTAAAAGCTAAACAATGAGATAGAAGGAGCACAAATGAGAAATGTTTCAGAAAGAAAGAATAGGAAGAACGAGGTGCTAACCCAATTTCTCTTCGACCGGAATTTCGTTAGTGGAAGAGGATTTTTTCGTTTTTTTCAGCCTTTTCTTTTCTTCTTGGACTTCTTCCTTCGAGAAAGCCAAGGTGAAACGTTCTTACGTTATTAGTCATGTTAAACAGACGCAACTTTTTTCTGGGATCCGGGGTGGTGTATCGAAGTGGTTTCCAGCGTGGTAGACCTTGCTGCGGAAGCAAGCCCCTTGCTGTAGTTCGAAACCCAGCAACATTTCCGATTCTAGGCAGGATAAAGCGGTGAAAGAATGGGTAATTGTTCTGCCACTATTATTTTTAACATTGCAGGTCTTTTATCAAAATTAGTTCACTGATTCACGTGATATATTGTGAAAGGAGCTATAGAGACAACTGACGGTCTCTTAGTATTTCTCATTAGTCACTCTGCGTTTTGATGGTGAATGAACGATGAAGATACGACGATTGAAGAGCATGGATCTACTAGACTTACTAAGATATCTGAATGAGTCGTCTTCACATGTCTGCGTTTGGTCCCAGTACTCCATTCATTTTCATGCGTTGCAGATGTCATCCACCGAGATAATTGGGTTAGTGGGTGGGTTAGGCTAAGGCTTCTCGCTGTTTCGTGTTCTGCGCTCATTAACATGTCTAATTCTTGTTGATTCTACTTCATTGATTTTCTCGCGGAATCTGGAGATGGTTGGGCTGGAGCCGTACCAGATCTTCACAATAGCCAGCAGCTAATCCTTGATGATCAGATGAAGCTTTACTTCCCTATGAGGGAACTGTTAGCAGAACGGAAGCAATACTTGTGATTAGTAGACCGACCCGCTCGAATACGATCTAATAAGCCGAATTCGCGTTAATTATATTACTTCTAAAGACGTCTAGACATTCAGAAATATTTTTCATTGTTGTAATTCATAATATCACAAGATGTAGGTTACAGCAGGAAGAAATGCTTTGGAAAAAGGACCAAAGTTATCATTCTATATTTTGTTATCAAAAAGCACTAATACATGGTGGTAATAAAATGTAGATTTGGTACTCCCAAGTAAAAATCACTGTCGTTGTATCGTCAAAAAAGCTTACTTGATCTTTCCGCCTTCTTGGTATACTTCAGCGATTCCACCATACATTTCAACAGGATATAAGGTACAACTATTTTGATGAGGACATGATTAGAAGCTGATGTATGATATACACGGAATACGATGTCATGGAGTATAAAATGGAAAATCGAGGCGGATGTAGCGCACTGGTTAGCGTTGCCATCGATAAGGAAGCAAAAGCGCTAGTTCGACCCTTCTCCAACACTCTCCCAATACAGGTGCGAGCTACTTAGACCGGCTATTTATAAGAGCGCAAGGAAATTTGACTCGAACAGCGTTCTACGACATTCATAAGGAAAACGAATTAAAAGTTTAAAAAAATGGATTATCTAGGCTTTTGGCAGAATTCCCCAATTTTTTTGTGAATACATTGGTAATAACTCCCACTTGGTAACTCTGAGGAAGGCGAAATCCGCCGAAACGTCAGCTTGTACGTAAATAAAGAAATAAAATAGCACCTCGTGTTTGCTGAACAGAAGTGGAAAGAATTGTACATTGGTAATATTTCTGATAATTGGCTTTCATTTAATCTCGATATGAATAATCGACGTGTGTATTCTTCTTCCACTGATGACCTGACGCGAAGTTGCTACCAAAATTTTCATTTGGGTAACGTTTCGGCGCCTACGACGTCTTCTCTAGGGCCGGAACGATTCGAGTCGATTGTTCATTGTCAGTCTAGAATCGTCCTCTATAAAACGGCCTCGACGAGTGAGTAAACTTTATTCGAACGGTTCTCCACTCCAGAGGATTCGATTCAATGCGACTATGAAAGTCTACATCGCGAGGAGGGACGGCTGTGGACGACAATCGAATTGATCCGGCTATGAAGAAGGCGAAGGCGCCGAAACCTTAGCTAAATAAAGGTTTCCTAAGGACCTCATGTCAGGTTACCAATGGAAAAAGGAATAACTTCATCAAGTAACTAGTACCGTAAAGAAAAGAGAAATAAATAAAGAATATTTATTTGCGAACTAAATGAAGGAACGATTCTGATGAGAAAGAAAGCAAACGTAAAGTGGAAAAATCATTAGACGGTAATTACTATTCCACATGTAAGATAATTTCCAAACAACACATCTATCCTCTGCCATGTTTTAGAATCCGAACTGCTATCGTCATTATTGTGACAAATGCAAAGGAAAAGCACTGTAAGCAATACGGCTACCGCATCCGTATCACCTGGGAGATCGGTGAGTTAACTCTGCAGTATTCGTTCATAAAAACGTTGAGCATAAAAAAACACTTCGAATACTTCGACTCTACTGTAGAACATCGTTATGCGTAGATTGTAAATCAATAGTAGAAATCATGAAAATCCTTAAGAATGCTTTTCGACAAGCAACAAGCGAAGCAGACACCGACAACTTGCAAGCCGGCCAAAACCGCGGATGCTCCGCCGACAAGTGCTGCATTGATTAGAATCCAACCTGAAATAGTCTCTATTAAGTTGTCTTCATGATGTCTGTGACGATCGTCCAGTCTGAGATGGTCTCTATTACGTTATCTCTATAGTGGCGCTAACGAGCATTGTACGCTTGAACTCGATCATAGCAAAAGTGCTATTTGAGAAGGAATGATGTTCAGTTTCATGATCCAAACAGCTGTTACATGACAAAGTGATACGGGAAACCAAGTAATAAGAACATCCTTGTTCATTTCCTCTTTCCACCCTTCATACATAGAGAGGGTGATTGTAAGAAACAGTTCCTTCACAGCTCACATAATGACGGCGAAGATTCTCGTCGTTATGAATCCCACATTTACTATCGATGAATATACGCCATCCAACCGTGAATGTAAAAGAGAATTTAGTGGAATAAACTAAGTAATAAAGTGAAAATCACATTGCAAAAATAGATGTCGTCCAAAAAAGTACTGACTACATAAATGTATCGTTTCTTTCTTTATGAACAGAATTCACATAATAAATATTCATTTTGCAAAAATATCCCATCAACAAATCGCCGCCATCGATGTAAATAAGTGCTTTAGGTCGAAAGTTACGAACAATAAACGAAGAAAATGGCACAAGGTAACTTTAAAGCCGTCAAACTCATAAGCGTTCTGGGCATATTCGACTTGGACGATAAGATCTTGACGTCTGTATCAAAATACGATGTCGTATTTGTTTCACCGAACACACTAAATGTGATGGATGATGATCACTCCTAATCCGTCCGATCTCAACTAGACGGAAAACAAACGCCAATCGAACGGAGATGAGAAGAACGGGGAGAAGAGTGGTTTTTGTGAAATAAGAACGATCCATGTCGAAATCTCATGTGACACACAACGATGTCTGAATTTCCTAAGATAATTGATGATTCTGAGCTATGTTAAACAACAGTGAAACACCAAAACTTTTGTCGAAGGTTATGGTCGTAGTCAGAGCAAAGGAAACGATCCACTATCACTTCTTGAATTCTGGTAAAACCATTAAGCAGAGAAGCTTTGTCAGAGAATCGCCTGTGCTAAGAACCGCAACAATATTGATCGGTATTGATCAATTGAAAAGAATAAATTCTGGCGACAAAAGAATCGCAAAATGCTGATGGCTATTCATCTATAATGCTCAGCTTCTGACGTTTTGATGGCGATTCTAAATAGTACCAGTAATACATGTGCCAGTGAAATTCTTCATCGTATAGCCTCGTATGTTATCTGATGTAGGCCAATATCCTGAATTGTACCTCTTTCAATGACAGGTCAGAGATACCGCCATATAAAAGCCTTAAGTACGCTTCATTTAGGTGGGTAAATAAACAAAGGATCAAGCACTTGGCGTATTCATTCAACTTCATCAATCACCATTTGAGCTGATTGAATGCATGCATGGCCTATATAATGATTTTCAGAGGCAAGTCGAGGAATTTAGTGTTTTTCTTTATACCGAAAGTACCGGCACCGATTTGGCGATCCCGAAGGAATGGACGGAGGTTAACATGGCTTGCGAGGAAGAAGCAACGACCGCCTGTACGAGATTTAATGTAGGCATCTATTTCAGATTTTTCCTACAATGTTCGTATGGGACCGCTCCGTGACTGAAAAGCGAATATTATGCAAAAATCTCCGAGAACAACAGAGTAGTTGAACTTTTGGGTTGTTTATACATGCTTGAATTTCAAGCAAGTTTAATCAATAAAGCAAAACTCATCTTACAAATTGGAAGAAAATCTCTGAGATCATTCTGAATAAAGGGCGAGGAAGATAAGTGGACAAAGAGAAGTGATAGATAGCGATGAAGGAGTTCTATAAGTGTGAAGTGTTCGTTTTTAATATTTCAATGAGACAAAGACATCATATCGAGAGTACGAACAACTGTGGACTATCGACTCCTATCATCCACTCTGAGGACAACGAAGGCGTCGAAACGTTTTCCGAATAAACCTTTCTATCAACCTCGTGTTAGCTTATCAATGGAAGCATTTATAACGTATTGATTCTTCGTTTCCATTTTTGAAAAATTCGATGAGCTTTCTAGAGAATAATAAACTCACTTTCGACTTTTTCCATACAACCACTCAGATGAAGTGGTTCAAGTTCGCGAGCACATCCGCTTCTTGCCTGCACACAACACGAGTCCGGTACTGCACCCAATGCTGACCAGTCGCTGGAATTCGCCACACCACAGCACGAAAGTATCTGCAAAAATCACAGTCAACAGACTTCCGCCTAGGTTACGGTAGTGATCATAGGTGTTACCGCAGAGTTTATAGGGGATACGGTAGTATTCGCGAACATTCACCAATGATTTGGTAGATGACACGATCTATGGAGAAAGTTCACAAACGATTGCAGAAAACTTTTGATTTAGTATCAATTCTGAAATGATTTGCGGAAATGGTGATGTGACTTTAATTTTACTTTTCTTTCTATCCAAACGCAGATCGTATCCTTTCTTTCAATTTTCACTTTTTCTTATGAGACGATGACGGTGAGATGAACGCTGAAGAGGTGGAAGTCGTAGTATGGTGGGAGACAGAGTGTACAACTAGTCGCCAATAATTAAGTTAGCAGTAATAAATTTAGAAGTAATAAAAATAATGGAAAATACTGGAGAGATCAGTGATAGTTAAGGTGATAACTTACGCTTTGTGTTTGATCCCACGCCATTTGTACACCACCGCTACGATTATAACGTGATAAACCCATCTAAAAAATTGATATCATGATGTACACTTAACGAACTATTTTCGGTTCAGCTGGTATTCTGCTCTGTAGTTGATACTTATTAGTAAAATAAGTAGCAATAATGGCTGGTAAATGATGGAAGCTAAGTGGTTTTCCTATGAAGGAACAACACTACTAGTTAAAAAAGAAGTTTCTGTTGAACTTTGCTTCCAAGAGATATGTAGTAGGTTCTGCAAGAAAATTTGCGATGAATATGACAACATGTGACGCATGTGGCGCGGTGGTCGGAGACGCCCTGCAACACACATGGAATCGATCCCCGTGCCCATGGCCCGCCATGCTCCTCATTCCTCCGGGATCGGCAAATTGGTACCAGACTTGTCTGGGAGGATAACAGAACTGGCTCCATACATCGATAGCCCATTGCGAGTTGTAACCGCCAGACATGCATTCAATCACCTTCAAACGATGCTTAATGAAGTAGAAAGCATGGGGCATCCCTCCCTTAGGGATTGATCAACGCCAAGAGTTTTTTCCTTTTACCCTTTATGGTGACATATGAGAACCACAGAAACTTCTACAACAAAACTTCTTAGTTTTATCATCCTAAAAACATATATTACAATTTTTTAAACTTCTTATGCAAAAATTCTTATTGCAACACTTTAAAAATTTTCAACTGAAGTTTTTTCATTTCAAATGAAGGAAATGGTCCTATTTGTACCATGACAAGTATTTTCTTAGCTACATAGCTCTTGAAAGTACTTTACGAATCTTAGACAGAATTTTATGTCAAAACACAGAGTCAATTGAAATGCTGTTTTTTTGCTGAAAAGAATAAATCGGTTATCGTCGTGAAGAATGAACCCATACTTGTAACTGATTGGAGAGACCGCTTCGTAAATCCTCATGAAGTGCATAAGCCGTAATTACGGCCGCTGTCTCAAGCATCTGGAATTTATCGAATTTTCGTTTCCAGAAAAAAGTGTGATCAACTGAACTGCTGACACTGTACTCTGCTAAGGTAGTTTTCCTAGAAGGTCTAAATAAGAACAACTTTTGTCTGTCATACTGAAACCAGCTAATGATGTTTGGTGGCCCGCTACGTGTTAGTCTAGGTAGGGCCTCAGTAATAATGAAGGTTTCAAAAATCGATGAGTATTTGAATTTGTGAAGATCACCTTTAATCACGCCATACTCAAGTATTTGTTGGGAATAACATAGAGTTTTGTTAAGTTCAACTAACACTTACGCGGCGACGGAACCTGTACAGGAGTGATTATAGTGGCCGGTCTGAGCTCTGCAGAGTTCGTTTTGTTTCCGGTGGTTTATTTTCGCGTTTAGTTTTCTTTGCTATATTCCTATAGTCGTTTCAACATCAACGTTTTAACAAATACTTGAGTATGACGTCATTAAAGGCGATCTTCACAAATTCAAACACTAAATTACTCAACACAGATGTTACGGTAAGCGTCGGTCGTAGAAAGCTCTATCCTGCACTTGGAAATATACAAAAAACCTTTTCTCTAAGGATTTTATTGGTAGGTAATTTGACTGGTAACTGACCGTAATTTTAATTATAGTGGCTGCAATGAGTTTTAGTTATCGTACGGAGTGCTCGGATACAAAATATGGAAAAAGACTGAAGAGAAGCTGTAAAACACTTCCAAACGCTGACAGCATTGAGCTTGTATGACCATAGCAATGCGTAGTAAGTGTAGCATAACCAATTATGCCCATAAAGCGAAAGGATAAAGCTTTTTCTATAACTCTATGATACCCTCAACCCACAATATCTTCTGGTTATCGAAATACTATCGCTTTTTGGGAAAACCAGTAGGTTCTTAAAGACATAACATTAGACGTCGTCGCATAAGTGTTAGACACAAAATTGTCCGTAACGAGTTCATCGGAATGGCTAATACATATTCTATATAGATATTACTGAGGACGCTTTACTCAAATCCCACGCCAAAAATCGATATTCGATTTTTTTTTCAATGACTGATGTGATTTGATGATAAGGCGTTCATTAACTTAGAAGAAATAGGAAATATAAGAAATAGTAAAATCTTGTATATTAAAGGTCTTTCCATGTGAATATCATGTGAACGGCGTTTGGGTGAAACACGATTAAAAGCGGTTACTGTCGACAATTCGGCTTTTTTTCTAATGATTGACATATTTTTTACTGACATAATAGCAAAAATAAACTCAAACATAACAAAATCACATACGATGACTAGTGCCAGCAATACGGCAAAGGATACGGTAAGACAGTAATTTTCTCGGATCGCTCCACAACATCCTAGAAATCCCAATAGGGTACAGAGTGAACCGAAGATCAACAATATCACTGGTGTTGCCAACCTGAATGAAAGCGAATTTTTGGATTCTCTCGTATCTGGAACTTTTATCAATAGGAAAATAAAGGGTATTTATTTATTAAGTAGCCTATTTATTATAGAGACAGTGATAACTTAGTATTCATAAAAATAGACAATAAAATTTAATATTCTGGTGCTTAGTTTGTTTATTTATAGAGTTCAATCATTTTTTGTTATCTGATCCCTTACTAGTTCCAGCTACGAGGACCTTTTTCATTGTGTTGCTGAACAACTTTGTTTCTCTTCTCTTTCTGTTTATCGTCACGAATGTATGTTTTTTGCTATTGATTTTCATTTACTAGTAAGATTTAACTTCAAAGTAAAGGCCCTCTCTCATTAATAGCCATGTTAAGGGTTAACATTAGTTCGTCACAAGTTAATATTAATCAGCAAACAACGCCGTAAGTGTAAATTTAATATGCATAGAACCAGTTTCATAGTTTAGATTTTGTCAAATATCCAGCCAGTAGTAAAAAAGGATAAAGCTCTCGGCGTTGATCAATCCTTGAAGGATGCGCCATGCATTCGACTTCATTAAGCATCCTTGGAGGTGATTGAATGCATATCTGGCCTTTACAGTGACTCTCTGTGGCCTATCGAGGTATCGAGCCAGTGCTGCTATCCTTCCAGAAAAGTCCGGTACCAATTTGCCGACCCCGGAAAGATGGAAGGCTTGGTGGTCCGCGCGCGCAGGGATCGAGTCCGCGTGTGTGTTGCAGGGTGCCTCCGATCACTGCGTCACACGCCACATGGCTAGTAATATACCTAAGATCCGCTATCTGGCATTGAGCATTCCCTAAAAATTCTTGGGATACACACTTTACGATGTTCCTATGTTTATGGTCAGAATTTTTGAATTAAGCATCTACTCATTTCAACATGTAAGGTGAAGAACTATAGAACGAAAGGTTTCATCTTTCATTACTTCGTTCCAACCACTAACTATTGCTAGTGATTGTTGTTGATGGTCAGGTCCAACGATAAGCTTATAAACATTCGATGTTGAAGCGAATTGTGTCCTGGAAATGTCATAAGCTTGGCCACCAAGTCACTGTGAATTTCTCAGGTGGTTTTCTTCTTTCTATCTGCTGCTTCATTCTTTTCTGTTTAAAGGCATATGTGATATATTAGTAAATGAGGCGGGTGAGGTTCCATTTCTTAGTACTTGCACTGTTTAACTATTACTTGGATGATTAATTGGATAGCCCACTCTCACTGGTTGTGAGGGCCCCAGGATAATCTCCAATTTTTCGGAGTTTTGTTGGTTTAGCCATTGTGGTTCCCTGGATTCTCGAAGTCAACCACGACAAAGTTTGCCCCAGGTCGTCACCACCGCAGGCAGTCGCCCTCCTTGTTGATCAGAGGGAGATTTGCTACCGTGCGTCTAGTTTGCTACCAGGACAGTGACCAATCGTAGTATTGGTTTATTCTTAAGTTGACTTTCTGGTGGATACGCCGGACTCCACTTCAGCTTGGGAGACCGTACTAGGGAGATGATTTCCCCGCTGTAAATCAGAGCCCGACACCCAGAAAAACCTCCCAGCCACGATGGGGCGGTCAACCAGTGGGAGGATAATAATAATTAATAATAGTAATTCTTCGCATTTTTGTTGAGCAAACGCGAGGTGTTATTATTCTTTGTTCACGAATGAGCTGACGCTTCGGCGGATTTCGCCTTCCTCAGAGCCTGGAAAGGTCAAGTTGACAGCAATCTACTTGGCGAGACGCCTCCATAACCAAACAAAGAAACTCTAAACCAAGATTTCAATCACATTGAACACAGCTTTGCACACTCACTGCTTTCTATGAGGTTTCCACTGAATATGTCACGTGAACACCAACCGCACAGAAATCACATGGAAGCATAATGTGCCCCACTCATCAGAATAGCAGTCTTATATACTGCCCTACATCACGCGTGATAATGAGGCATTCTTCCCTGCGGTTCATTTTCGGATTTCTGGAATTAATCCAGAGTGCCTCGAGAGTTCTTCGCGCCTGTGTTGTTGATTCGCGTGCAAGGATCGTGACACATACTTCAAAGTCCTCCCCGTTATGTCTCTGGGTCCTATGCGTGCCTAGCGGAGTATTTGGTCTATGTTTGCCGGCTAGGTGTTCTTTTATGCGGACACAGAGGGATCTGCCCGTTTCGCCAATGTATTCGTCACCGCACGTCTTACATGAGATCAGATAAACTATACCCGAGCTCATTCAATCACCGTCTCTACCACTGGGGCAAANTTTTGAGTTGCACATAGACGGTCATATAGGCGGTTACGAACTAGCTGGCGCTTAAGATTACTCGGTGGTA